ACGAACAAAGCTTTCTGGTTCGCATGAAATCTTAATGGCATTCAGAGCAGCAGCATTCCTTTTTCTTTTCTCAGATTCACTAAACAACTGTTGCTCAGGGCCGAATGGAACAATAATTCCATCCCAAAGCTCTTGAGAAATCAAATGGTCTTCCATGAAAATGCTCCAACTCTTATAATTGCCCCTTTTTAGAAGTTGAGGGACAATCAAGGTTGCAGCACTAGTATTTGTCATTGCCATAACGTGGATGATCTAACAAACAAACAAACAATATATAGTTATATACAGCAAATTAATATAAATCATGAGAATGAGAGAGAATAAAAGATCGATACAATTTTTGTATAGGGAAAATTGTTTATCAACTGAAAAATTGGGTGAAAAATACTTTAAAATTGGGCGAAATGAACTTTATTTACCGAAGTGAAATATATTAATTATCTTAAAAAATAAAATTAAGAAACTATATATGATCATAGTTTAGGCTACTGCATGCATATACCCCGATCAAACTGAAACTTTCGTAGCTAGCGGAGACTATTAGAGAACTCAATGTACTAGATAGCAATTACAACAGATTAAACTAAACTGCTTATAAACTCATACAAAGAATCAAAGGAGGAGAAATCTTTAACTAAGGTAACCTTACTTTAAAATCTCAGCTTCTTTGCAGCTACTCGATGCAGATAGTCAGGGATCCAGGAAAGAAGAGAACTAGAAGAAAAATATAAGAAAACAAACATGAACTCAAAGAGAATAATCTTATTTAGTGCTCCAAGATACCAAGACTGGCCAACGAGATGACTCCTCCTCACTTACCTCCGAGTCCACCTGCAAGGTCAACTCATCGACGACTCAGTCAACTCGCCTATGAATTTAAGACATGAACCGAAGTAGTAGCAGTCATCAAAATGGAAGAGATGAAAAGGACTGAGGAGACGTTTTTGATTAAATGAAGGGTGGTAGAGCCCAAAAGGCAAAACATGCAGATTAGCCCCTCAACTCGTCGATCAGTGGCAAATTACCCCCTTAACTCAGTTCACGTGCAAACTAACCCCACAACTCGTCTGCAGTGGCAAATCAGCCCCTCTGTTAAGGCTAACGTCATCAATCCGTTAAATCTTAACGTTCTGCTCTTAAGCCCCTCCTCTCGTCTGACGTGGCTTGTTTTTGCTGAGATGGATGCACCACCTGGACAAATGTCAGCCGACTTCTCAGATCAGAGTCCACAATGAGTTCAAAATCTTTCAGTTCCATGTATCCACTTGAGAAAATACAAAGTCAGATACATACTAATCAATCTAACTCTCATTTTAGTAAAACACAAAAATGTTCACTTAATCTTAAATTTAACTGGCACATGAAGAAATTACAAGAAAAGATTCCGAAAAGTAAATAAGAATCAACAAAAATTCTATCTTCTCATTAACTAAATAATATCGTACTTCATTTGGTTTCAAAAACCAAATCCTGCCAAAGAAAGAAAAAATGCTTCTTCAAATGAACACAATTTGAGTGCTTAGCTCAACCCACCCAAGTTTCCCATTTTAAGATTTCAAACAAAAACCAAACTGGAGACTTCCAACTTTTCTCTTAGCACCCTTCTGCAGAAGATGAATGATGGAGACGGTATGGCTGTCAATGCCTTTTTAGTAGATGCAATTTTTAACAAATTATGGTTCTCACTTAATCAGGCATAAATAGGACTAGAATCATGTTTTTGTGAATAATATTTAAAGCAAAGAACAAGAAACCTACCAGTACATTGAAAACTTGAAAGAAATAGTGAGAGAGAGAGGAAACAAGAATTATGAAAAATCTTTTTTTTTTTCTTTTATTTTTTTATCAATTAATTCATTAATTTTATCCATATATATATACTTTTAATCCATAATATATGGTTCAAAGATTATAAATAAGTTTGTATTATAAATTTAAGAACTAAAGATACGTATGTATATCAACTTAATATATTTGTATAGTTTAATGATGAAGAAAAGTAAAAAAAAAAACGTTTAATAATTAAAACTAAAATATTTAAAATTAAAAATTTAAACACTAAAATTGATATTAAAAAAGAAAGCGTACGAAAAGTAATAATCATTAGCTTTAGTTATTGGTTTGGTGCATGTAAATGCAAAGTATATCTATTTAATTTACATTAATTAAAGTTGAGATAATTCGAAGATAATTACGAAATTTTTTATATATTATTGGTTTGGTGTATATGAATGTAAAGTATTTCAGTTTAATTTATGATAATTAAAGTTGAGATGATTGAAAACAACCCTGAAACGTTTTATATATTATTGATTTGGTGTACGTGTGAATGTAAAGTATTTCAACTTCATTTTCACTAATTATAATTAGTTGAGATGATTTGAAGATCGCTACGAAAACTTTTTTTATATCCTGCAGTTAATTATTTGTTTTGGTCGTCCGAGTGGCTGACATACTGTATCCACCTCCACCAAAAATATAAATGGCGAGTCCTTTTAACTCCCACAAAAGCCATTACACAGTGGTTTTTATTGGGTTTCGTGTCATTTCCACCATTTTACAAACGCCAACGGCCCATCACTGTGCTTAGACTGTTCACACATTTTTGGCCCACCCTCGATCTTTGTTTTGCCATTTATGCCGTTTTAACAGTCCGTTTTCTAACTGTTCACACATTTTTCATTATTATTTTTAGCATTTTAATTGATAAGACATTCTGATTTTTTCAAATTTTTATGTTAAAATTAATATTAATAATTTTTTTAAAAAGTCTTTAATTTTTAACTTGTGTTTAATAATATATTTATTATTTTTTTAT